TTATTGATTTATGGATTTATGGATTTATGGATTTATGGATTTATCGATTTATCGATTTATCGATTTATTGATTTATCGATTTATTGATTTATCTATTATCTATTTATCGATTTTTCGACTTAAATTTAATTTGTTGTCCTTAATTTTTCTTCAAGCCAACTAAAATAAGAACTGGGAATTAATTTTTTCTCTGTATTTTGGTAATGGATTTATTGATTTATCGATTTATCGATTTATGGATTTATGGATTTATGGATTTATTGATTTATCGATTTATGGATTTATTGATTTATCTATTATCTATTTATCGATTTTTCGACTTAAATTTAATTTGTTTTTCCTTAATTTTTCTTCAAGCCAACTAAAATAAGAACTGGAAATTAATTTTCTGCTCGGTAATTTTATCAAGACGATGAAAAATATGACGTCTCTAACTCAGTTTCAAATTATAATTTAAGCGCTCGGTCTGAATTTATCATTTAAAATAAGCAATAAGGGGTTTTCTCTGTTTCAAAGAAGCTCTGATAGTTTAACTGTTCGTATCATTAACACCCAACTTAGTTGTTTTAGTTTTAGGATATGGATGTAAGTCTATGAACAAAAATACATTTACTTATTTATCGATTTATTGATTTAATCGATTTAAATTTATTTATGATTTCATGAGTACTGCTTCAAGCCAACTAAAAATAAGAACTGGGTATTTTTTTCTCGGTAATTTGGTAATGGATTTATGGATTTATTGATTTATGGATTTATTGGTTTATGGTTATGGTTGCTTGTAAGTTTATCGGTTATCCGATTTATCGATTTATTGATTTATCGATTTATTGATTTATCTATTATCTATTTATCGATTTTTCGACTTAAATTTAATTTGTTGTCCTTAATTTTTCTTCAAGCCAACTAAAATAAGAACTGGGAATTAATTTTTTCTCTGTATTTTGGTAATGGATTTATTGATTTATCGATTTATCGATTTATGGATTTATTGATTTATCGATTTATCGATTCATCGATTTATGGATTTATGGATTTATTGATTTATTGATTTATTGATTTATTGATTTATTGATTTATTGATTTATTGATTTATTGATTTATTGATTTATTGATTTATTGATTTATTGATTTATTGATTTATTGATTTATTGATTTATGGATTTAGCGGATTTATGGATTTATGGATTTAGCATGGATTTATGGATTTATTGATTTATTGATTTATTGATTTATTGATTTTTGATTTATTGATTTATTGATTTATTGATTTATTGATTATTGATTTATTGATTTATTGATTTATTGATTTATTGATTTGTGGAATTTATTGATTTATTGATTTATTGATTTATTGATTTATGAATTTATGGATTTATGGATTTATGGATTTATGGATTTATGGATTTATGGATTTGATTTATTGATTTATTGATTTATTGATTTATTGATTTATTGATTTATTGATTTATTGATTTATTGATTAGATTTATTGATTTGTGAATTTATTGATTTATTGATTTATTGATTTATTGATTTATTGATTTATTGATTTATTGATTTATTGATTTATTGATTTATTGATTTATTGATTTATTGATTTATTGATTTATTGATTTATTGATTTATTGATTTATTGATTTATTGATTTATTGATTTATTGATTTATTGATTTATTGATTTATTGATTTATTGATTTATTGATTTATTGATTTATTGATTTATTGATTTATTGATTTATTGATTTATTGATTTATTGATTTATTGATTTATTGATTTATTGATTTATTGATTTATTGATTTATTGATTTATTGATTTATTGATTTATTGATTTATTGATTTATTGATTTATTGATTTATTGATTTATTGATTTATTGATTTATTGATTTATTGATTTATTGTTTATCGATTTATTGTTTATCGATTTATTGATTTATCGTTTATTGATTTATTGATTTATTGATTTATTGATTTATTGATTTACTGATTTACTGATTTACTGATTTAGCGATTTATCGTTTTATTAATTTATCGATTTATTGATTTACTGATTTATCGATTTATTGATTTATTGATTTATTGATTTATTGATTTATTGATTTATTGATTTATTGATTTATTGATTTATTGATTTATTGATTTATTGATTTATTGATTTATTGATTTATTAGTTTATTGATTTGATTTATTAATTTATTGATTTATCGATTTTCGCCTTAAATTTAATTTGTTTTTCCTTAATTTTCTTCAAACCAACTAAAGAACTGAAATTAATTTTCTGCTCAGTAATTTTATCAAGACGGTGAAAATATGACGTCTCTAAGTCAGTTTCATATTATAATTTAAGCGCTCGGTCTGAATTTATCATTTAAAATAAGCAATAAGGGTTTTTTTCTCTGTTTCAAAGAAGCTCTGATATTTTTAAGTAACTGTTCGTATCATTAACTTTTAACTTAGATATTTTTAGTTTTGGGGTGGATGTAGTCTATGAACAAAATAAATTTACTTATTTATCGATTTACCGATTTTTCGATTTAAATTTAATTTGTTTGTCCTTGAGCCACTGTGACCAACTAAAATAAGAACTGGAATTAATTTTTTCTCTGTAATTTAGTAATGGATTTATAGATTTATTGATTTATCGATTTATCGATTTATTGATTTATCTATTATCTATTTATCGATTTTTCGACTTAAATTTAATTTGTTGTCTTTAATTTTTCTTCAAAGCAGAGCTAAAATTAGAACTAGAATTAATTTTTTCTCTGTAATTTGGTAATGGATTTATGGATATATTGATTTATCTATTTATCGAATTATCGATTTATGGTTATTGATTTATGGATTTATCCAGATTATCGATTTATGGATTTATTGATTTATCAATTATCGACTTATGGATTTATTGATTTATCTATTATCTATTTATCGATTTTTCGACTTAAATTTAATTTGATGTCCTTAATTTTTCTTCAAGCCAACTAAAATAAGAACTGGGAATTAATTTTTTCTCTGTAATTTGGTAATGGATTTATTGATTTATCGATTTATTGATTTATGGATTTATCGAATTATCGATTTATGGATTTATTGATTTATCGAATTATCGATTTATGGATTTATTGATTTATCTATTATTGATTTATTTTTCGATTTTTCGACTTAAATTTAATTTGTTTTTCCTTAATTTTTCTTCAAGCCAACTAAAATAAGAACTGGGAATTGATTTTCTGCTCGGTAATTTTATCAAGACGGTGAAAAATATGACGTCTCCTAAGTCAGTTTCAAATTATAATTTAAGCGCTCGGTCTGAATTTATCATTTAAAATAAGCAATAAGGGTTTTTTTCTCTGTTTCAAAGAAGCTCTGATATTTTTAAGTAACTGTTCGTATCATTAACTTTTAACTTAGTTATTTTTAGTTTTGGGGTGGATGTAAGTCTATGAACAAAATAAATTTACTTATTTATCGATTTACCGATTTTTCGATTTAAATTTATTTTTGATTTCCTTAATTTTTCTTCAAGCCAACTAAAATAAGAAATGGGAATTAATTTTCTTCTTGGTAATTTGGTAATGGATTTATGGATTTATTGATTTATCGATTTATCTATTTATCTTTTTTTTTCGATGAGGAGGGAAAAAATCTTCCATAAGACATGCATAGCTGGGTAGTGCCGGATTCCTACCGGCTAAAAAAAACACTCCTCGTTCACTTCGATGTGGGGGGCTGCCTACGCCATGTGGCGTTGCTTCTCTTCTTTTTTACTTAGTATATTACTTACATATTTGTTTACTGTTTCCCATAATAATTCACCTCCCTTAGGGTGCATCCAGACTATCCTAAAAACGGCGAATCGGCGTAACGACCTTGAATCGATTTCCAATAATTCTATTGGCTGAAAAATTCATCTGTCAAAAATTTAATCTGTCAAATTCATCTGTCAAAAATTTGAGAAAAAAAAGAATAACTGAAAATTGATTCAAGGTCGTTACGCCGATACGCCGTTTTTAGGATAGTGTGGATGCACCCTTAGGGTTCATCCACACTATCCTAAAAACGGCGTCCTAAAAACGGTTTTTAGGATAGTATGGATGCACCCTTAAGCCTTCTCATCAAGTTCGTTTCGGTGAAATAGAACAATAGAATACATGTTCAGCGTCGTTTATTTCACAACAAAATAAACATGATTCAGAGCTTGTCCGCCTCATCTAGTAGAGGTATTTTCGGAAGCACCCGTCTCCAGACAGCATTTGTGTCAGGTGGTATCCCACTTCACCATATGGTCTGTCAATCCATTTTTCGATGTTGGGTATAAGTCTCCAGGTCCATCTTCCGTACTTTCCTTTACCCCACTGATCCTGCCATTTCTCCATCACAGTTTTCCTGGCTATTTGTTTCAGCTCTCCCTTGTATTTATCCGCTCGTTCATGAGCTAATAAGTGGATAGGAGGAATGCCCGCAATGACACCAACTGCCTCAGTAGATACAGTTCTGTAAGCGCTACAAACTCTTAATACATAATTTGCGAAGCAGAGCTGTTGTCTTTCGCTTAGTTTTTATTTTGTCCATTGCCTTATGCCATACCGGAGCTGCATATAACAATTGTGAATGTATTACGCTTACAAGAATTCTACGCTTTGATGACCTAGGGCCCCCTATGTTCGGCATTAATTTTGATAATGCAGCTAGAGTTTTTTCCGCTTTAGTGGAATATGCTTAATGGATATCAAAATTCATAAAATTTTACAGGGAATTTAAGTATGTAATAAAAAATGGGGGTAGCCATTTAAAATAAGAAAGTTGCTGTCAACTTCCGGTATTCCCGGAAGTGCCGCCATATTGAAAATATTTTTAATGGATAGATCTCGTTGTAAAACAGTGATGTGCAAAAAATCTCCAATCTAAATATTGCAGTTCTCTAGAAACGTCTAATGCACGCTCCGCCTGGGACACCCTGTATAAACAAGGGTAATACTTGGTAATACATAAAACAATACTGTTAGTTCTGGAAATAGATCTTGTAAGAACACTGGCGCCAAAATTAAACAAACCATTTAAATTTAAGCACTACATATTATAGTTAAATGGTGCATGGACTGCTGTTAAATGGCATGTTCTAATGGAATCTCTGGAATATATCTGGACACTTAATATCAAAATTGATAGGAACTAACTGAAGAAAAGCAAGATGTTTTGCTTGGGAAGGTAATGCGCAGGCACTAGCTCACAAATATAAGACGCTACGTGCTTGGAATTTTATCTAGAAGTCGACAAAGCTCGTAAGCAAACGGACAGTTTATATAAGAATGGTAATACTTGATTTTTTCTTATATTATAAAACTTCATCTGAATGAAGGTTCTGAAACCTCGCAATCAGTGGTTTCAATTAGTGTAGAAGTTTGTTTAGTGTAGAAATTTTCAATCACTTTTTTTCCACTAATTATACTTACGTTTTTTCCACTAATTATACTTCAAAATTTGAGAGGAATGAGGAATGTCAATTGCTGGTGCTCCATTCGCGAACTTCGAGTTCCGGGCTTTACGCCCTGGGACTACTCGAGAACGGTTCTGAAAAGAACTGTGCGCGATAGCCTCGTGCCTCCATATGGCGCGGAACAGTTCTGGAACTTATGACTCAATTGAATGGAGTGAGAGTATCGCGGTTTTGAACAGTTCAGAGCTGCTCATCTGCGTGAAAGGAGGACAGCAATTTTGGCCTTTGATTATCACCCATCAAGAAAAATTTTGGTTAGAAATCAAAAGTTTATTATTTTATAAGCTAAATATTATGCTTTCTCTATGGATACATAACAGATTACCTCAAGCTGTTGCTAGGATATTTTATTAATTTTAATTGTGTTTTTTAGACATTATGAATGATCATAAACTAAAAAGTATAAAGTGTAATTGAAACCGCTTTTCCACTAATTGGGAGGTTCTGAATGACGCTTAAGACATGTTTATTTGTTTTTAGAAGTGCAACATCAAAGAAGTAAATGCTTTTTTATTAATCGTTCTTCTAATACATTCGTCATTGATAATTGAGGGACGTTCGCCAAAACCACCAACGCATTTATTTCACAGAACTTGTACACCTCTACCAAAATGCTGCAAGTGAGTTTTTAACTAAAGGGTTTATTATGCACGCGACATGCCTCGTTCCGTCACTCCAGTCATAATTATGTATCAGCTGCCATTTTTGAAATAAACCAAAAAAATTGCATATTATCAACGACGGTCAACGCATGACGGATGCATGTAAACCCACAACACAGCAAACGATACAATTTTTTTCAGCTAACTTTGGCCATTTTTTTTTAATATCTTTGTAAATAACGATATTGCACTTCCTCGTACTAATGAGGCATACGGTACTTAACTGACAGGTAAATCGCTATGTATGTACATACGGGGCTTTACTAGTATTTCGTTTTATTAACTTATAGAATTAGGATAAAAATAATGTAAGTTGACGCTCCCGGATCGCCGGATTTCCATTATCAAATGATATTTCTCGTATTAGATCATAACTAGCCATAACGACTGGTACTAAATTAGTAAGTACCTTATTTTCGACGAAAAATTAACTAAAAATATAGAAAAATTGATATTTCTATTAAAAAACGAAGATTTTGTATGCTTTTGTTAATGTAATATTTGAAACGTATTTATAAATATTTTGTTTTTAGGACTTACGTATATGCCGATGGGTGTAGGGGCGTAATGTCAAAAAGAAATTATTATTCAGACCCCCAAACAGATGTTTCTGTCAAAGACCCAATTGATCCAAGGTATATAAAATATTTAACTCGATAAAAAAACCCTTATAAATGACCAATTAAATTTTAGGTTTCAGCTGGAAAATGGCGACTTAAAAAAAGGCAACTGGCAGAATCTGGAACAGGTATATTTTCTTTAAACAAGCTACATGCGAATGTAAATTATTGATTGATTTTAGGACGACGCAGAAAATAAGAATCATTTTTTAAACTCGATCAGTGATATATTTGATTATTTCTATTAAAATTAAATAATTATATATATTATGTACTGAAATGATTTAAATAAACCGCATACAACTGATAATTTCAAATTTTTATTTACTGATTTTGATAGCAGTAAACGAAAAACGAAAAAACGGACGACGCATTCCGTAAACTCGGCTTAATTTTTTACATGCACAATAAAAAGTCGCATTTGTTGCAAACTTTTTCGGACGCTCTCTTAATTAAGGAAATAAAACTAATACTTACTAAGCATATCACTGGAATATAATAAATTACAATGACAATATATCATCTTTAAAGTTATATATTATCTTATCTTAAAATCTATGCCAATATACACAGGACGCAGAAAACTGTCTCTTAAAATAGAAACGGAAGTAGTGTCTAATATATTATCCATATACACAATATATATATTTTTGTTAAGAAGAGTTTTGAAATATTCTTAACTATACATAACATTTTTAAACAAAATTGTTATATGCTTATAAAAATACATACAAATAATAGACAAAGCAGAATGAATATAGAAAAGAATATTGCAAAAAACTTCCTTCTTCTGAACTGATATATTTTGAAAATACTCTTCATAGTCTATGGCCACTTTTTAACTGTCGTATCGGTAATGTGATCTGCTTTTTGGACTTTATTGAATTGATCCCACATTTTACCATAGAGCAACTCTAATCCCTCAGCGTATATCTTGCAATCAAATAATGGCGAGTTAGATCTAGCTGTCCATACTTTATGTCTCATGGCCTTCAAACTGAAACAAACATTAAATATTTAGTTATACTGGAAAGTAACTATAAAATATATAATGTATTTTCTTTTTAGATTTGGTTTTCTTCGACCAGTACATTATATATATTTCTAGATTTTCTTGGCTGTAGATCGTTAGTGTTAGTGATTTAAATTATGTTATAAGTCAACGTTTCGACAACCCAAGTGTCTTTTTCAATTTGAACATATTTCTTTCCTCAAACGTAGATATAATTCCAATGTTATATAAAAGAATAGACAAGCACAGTGTGTTTAAAATATGTAGTGTTAACACAGTCACACATTTTAAAACTTAATACTAAATGTAAATACTAATATAAAAATACGTAGTATAATAAAATAATGCTACTTCGAGCTACTGCAATCTGTTTTTTCATAATCGCGAAACTGATAAAAAAACGAGACGAAAAATAAATGGATTTAATCTGAAGGTTTTTTAATTTAAAATTTGCATAAGTATATCTCAAAATCAAAACAAGATTAATATTCTAGATCAAAAGGTATCTTATTGTCCAATCTTCTTTTTTGTTACTTCCTATTATTCTTAGTTAAATGTGCTTCTCCTATATTGCCTCAAGAAGCTATAATAAAGTCGCGAAACCCTGCATAAATATACTTGTTGGTTTTATAACAAAAAGGCGTATCTCAATTTTTGGCAATTTCGAGATATCGATTTCATGATATATACAATGGGTCATTTTTTAATAAGGCGAATTGGCGCATCTCAATATTATACCCTTTTCATTCCATATTAATTTAAAAATGTGTCTATCGTGGTTTGGTTGCTCGCGTTCTGGATGCCGCTCAAAATATAAATCAGCTGCCATTTGCTTATGTTTGTTAGACTCAAGATAACATTCTAACATATTATATTTCTCAAAATTTTCAAATTTACTCATTTTTTTTATCATTTAAAATACACACACTTCAATCTGTTGAAATGAAATGTCGCGCATCCATCAAAGGTATGTTCCGATCACCATGACAACCGTTTACTTTGTTACTCGGCGCGGCCTACTATCTACTAAATGGATATTTTAAGAAAAATTTGAAATGTTGAGGTTAATAGTGAAAATAAATATAGAGTGTTATATATTTTCGAGAAGCCCATGCCAAGCTGAATAAGAAAATTTAAAAATATACAGGGGGTTCTATTAAAAAAAAAAGCATAAGTGTAGTTAATATCTCAAAAAATATTTTTTTCGAAAAAAGTCTGACTACGCCACTGCATTCTACACAGAAAAGTGCCTTTAGAATGTATAATTCATTTTTCCGTGGTTGCTGAAATAAACAAACTATGGAACATCTAGCTTCGAAACCGATCAAGATAGCCACGATCCGTTTGCGCCATTGTAATTTTTTCAAAAAAAGAACCCAAGACTGCAGTATCAAAATTTGAATATATTCTAGAAACAACCAAAATGGTCCACCCTGTACATTAAAAAAATGTCTTGCGCGGCGCAGCCGGTGTGAACGCATCTTTATATGATTTTATTACCGAAATGTATTTATGTAACCTCACCTAACTAGGTAGAACTAATATATTTTGAGGCCATTTATTCAATAATTAGAAAACCTTCAGATTATACTCATCTCGTTTTTATTAGAGTCACTATTAAGGAAAACTAATTTAATTATCATTAAAAATTAATCATATTTTTACCTGTTAGTTTGTTTTTAGGCTATTAATAACAGCTGATAATTATTCAAATTGTTTATATTTGTTGCCAACCAAATGAGCAAAAACAGAACAGCCCAATATTTCAATCACTTTGAATTACTTTATACAATTTAAATAGCTACTTACTATTCTTTATCTGTTCCTAACTTAATAGCTATATCCTGGTATTCTTGCCGAGTTCTGGCAATAAGTTCCGGACAACCCAATGTATTTAACTGACTAGCTGCTACCCTGGAAGCCAAAGTTTCGCCAGGTAAAGTGACCACCGGCGTACCCGTCCAAAGAACATCCATACTGTCAAAAGTGAATAAAAGTATATACTATTGAAATAACAAAATAAATATAGTATCTACCTTGTGGTGTGTCCATTACAAAGTGGTGTGTCTAGACAAACGTCCGCCAGCTGGCCGCGTCGTACATGCTCTTCTTTAGCTGCCACGTTACTGAACAAAATCCTATTCGGCGACAAGCCTAACTGCTGTGCCGTATTTAATAAATTGGGCTCGCCTACAGCAGGAAACCGTAGCAACCACAGTACTGCATTTGGTACTGCTTTCAGAATATTAACCTAAATATAATTATTATATTGTTAATTACTTATTATATCTACTACTATAGCGTGCTGGCAACTTTTACTTTTGGGTTGGTGTTTACATGTGTGGAAGTGAAGATAAATAATAATATAGAATATTAAATTATGATAAAAAATAATTAGTCAAATAGGCCAGCACAAAATCAAGGCCCGCTTCGATATAAAGATAAAAAACCTAATATTTCTCTCATTTTTAGAAATAAATACACATAACTTTATATCGTTGGAAAGGATTAAAGGCCAGCATTTTTTTAAGTTCATAGCCAACTATGATTTCCATTAAAAAAATTATATTTTTCATTATTTCTGACAAAAAGAGCAACCATAGAAAAAAACTGACTATGCCACTGGATTTTGGTTAAAAAAGTGCCTTAAGAACGTTTTACAGAATTTTATTATTCCGAGAAATACAAAAGTTAAGTTTTAAGATTCCAAACCTGATGCAATGTAGTATGAGATCATTTAGAAAGATTATAAAACAAATATTTTATAGGATTAGAAGATTTTTTATTCTATTAACTTACTCACCCACATATGGAGCGTCACAGGATCAATCTTGTACAACTGATTAAAATTACAATATACAACTGCATCATCGGGTAATCCATATTGCTGTCTAGTGGTAATAACAATATTTTGTGGTACTTCTTCCCCTGTAGCAGCTTTATTGTTAGTTTGTGTGGTTGCCAAACCATTCTGTACTAAAACACCATTCAGAGAAGTCTGAACCTGTCCTGAAGCAATCATGTTTTCGATAGGTGTGGTGGTAGGCAATTCGGCTACTTTAAGACTAATTTCAACTGGTTTATGTGCTTTAACAATTTCTATTACTTCTTTAACCTCGGTATTTTCGCATAAAGGCGATAAATCAGCTGCATTAATAATAGCTACGTTATCAGCCAAACCAGAACCAGTCCCATTTCTATCTGACACAATAATTCGTTCTTTCAAATGCGGAAACATCTGTTTGTGGTCCCCAACGAAATATGTATAGGGCATATAAGCTAACTTTTCACTGTATTGACTGGCTAATTCAAGTGGGGATGTCACAGCATCAGTAATCAAGTAGTCCATGTAGCTAGCCCCACTGGTTCCCGGATAACCCAACCACATAACCTGAATGGGTGCAGGTCTTAAAGCAAAAATCTCATTTCTTGCTCCTTTAGTATATCCATTCATGTTTACTAAGATATGAATATTATCAGAGTAGATTCTATCAGCTGCTTTGCCATTGCAAGGCTCCGAAGATAAATCAATAAAATGTTCACATTCTCGGGAAATTTTACTTCGGAAAGTAGTCCCGTCGTCCTGACTTAGAGCATAACAAAAAACTTCAATCTAAACATCAAACAAAAAGGAATATATAAAACTACATCAAAATGAAAATTATATATTAACAACTTACTTTTGTTCTGTCATGTAATCCTGGAACTGACTGCATCAAGTGTGATGTGGGATGATTACCGAAATCGCTACTCACGTAACCAATTCTTAATCTACTTTTTAGCTCGGTAGAAAATCTGTATGGAGGTTTATGGAGCACATTTATTTTTTCCAAACACAAATTTGCATGTCTAGCTGCGATGGCCTAATAAATTAAAATATTAATCAAAACCATTCTATTTTTTTTTAAACGTTACCTTTCTAAACTCATGTGACAATGGATAAAGCATGGAATGATGCGGATGAACCGATGGCAATCGATTTTTGTCCAACTGATCCGCCACAATATTCACTAACTTCTTCATTCTTGATTCGTAGTCGGACCAATCGCAAACAATTTGTAAACAATGTGCCAAATTGCAATAAGCATCTGGAAAGTCGGGTTTTAATTTCAAAGCTGTCCGATATGACTGGATGGCTTCAGGAATGTTTCCAGAGTCTTTATGAATGCTAGCCAAGTTACTATGCGCGTCTGCGAAAGCGGGATTAATTTGGATGGCTCGAGTGTAACACTGTAAAGCACCCGCAACGTCTTGCATCTCTTTCAATGTATTTCCTAAATACATAAAACAAGATTAAATGGCAATAAATCATATGAAAATAAACATACCCATATTAGAGTATGCATCAGCAAACGTCGGTTGAATCCTGATAGCTTCTTTGTAGTGCATCAACGCCTCGTTCAGTTTACCTTGTTGTTGCAACACCGACGCCAAATTACTATGAGCGGCAGCAAACTCCGGGAAAACTTCTAAAGCCTTCAGGTATAGGCGTGTAGCTTCTTCAATAAATCCCTGTTCGCGTTTGATATTTGCCAAATTGTTCAAAGAGTCCGCATGACTTGGGCATAATCTTAGCGCTGTATTATAACAATCCTCGGCTTCCGAAACCTAAACCGTAAGAACCGTTTTATATAAAATACCTTACATTTAGTTAATTTCTAACCTGGCCTTTTTCCTTAAGTGCATTTGCCAGATTGCAATAAGCATCTGGAAAATTGGATTGCAGTTCGATGGCTCGTCTATAAGTATCAATAGCCAAATCGATAAGTCCCTGCTCATAGTAGACACAAGCAAGGTTGCCGTGTACAACAGCATTATTTGGAGATAGGTTTAGTGCTCTTAAATATGCTGCTACCGCTCTGAAACCAAATAAACAGATCCTGTTTAATTAGTCCGTGTAAATTTAAAAGACTACGTTTTTGTGTTAAATATTTTTTTTTCACACGAACCTAGTTATTGAGAGAACCAGAATTGTTGAGAGAAATATCAATTCCATTATTATTTATATTTAAATTTATTCAATTCAAAATAGGAGGTCATAATACAAAACTTTTAAATACTAGCTAATAGAAAATCCTAAAATGATATATACACAACATGAGACATAAATTTAAATTTAAAATTATCAGAAATATAGGTATATTATTTTAAAAGATGCTGTTTTAATTTCTTTTTAAACCCTACTAACAAAGAATTGGCATTACTGATTAGGCCTGACAAATCGTTAAACTCATTCAAACCCTTATAAAATAGAGAGATCATTGTGAGTTGCCTTCTTACTAGGTAGTTGTGTAGTTCATGACGAAGGCTCACAAATTCATTGAGGTACCGTGGCAACATTCCCATTTTAAGCTTATAAACAAATGTAACCAATTAAGTTTATATAAAATAATTAATAGTTAAGTATTTTCAACAAAAAAATCCTGTGTGGGTTTTTTACCACTGCAAGAAAATCTACAAAATAAAATAGTTATTTTATATAAACACTTCTGCGTTAATCCCAAACGGAAACTATTTGTCAGAAGTTAGGTTTAAAAATATACAAATTTGCCTAACGAACAAAAAAATGATTAACGTTTCGGAAAGTTTATCTCTTTCCGTCGTCGGAAGCAAAAAAATATAAAGAAAAAAACCCTATTTAAGATATTTTAATATTGTTCTCGAATAGTTGAAATTAAATATTTGTTGAATTTTTGCAAACAAATTGCAGAAATTCGAGACCCTCAACAAAGTTAACGTAATTAAAAAAAAACAATTTTCGATAAATTCGGTAAAGTGTTAGTTATATCACAGAACAGATACAAATCAGAAATTTCACTGAACGTCGGTGCTTTTCAAGTGTGTTGTAAGAATTCCGTTCCTCGCGCACAGATTTCATCCTCCTGCGCGCCGCACAGCTGATCATTAGTTGATGGCTTTAAACGATCCAGGGTCGAACTCAGATACGTGTGAATCGTGACAGGAGCGTATTTCGTTTTTTAACAGTATTTATTTGAAAAAAGTAAGATTTAGTAGTGACAAAATAAATAATGTGTAAAAATAATACGAAAAATCATGCCAATTGATTCAAATGTTTAAAGCGTTATTTTACAAAAAAAAGTGTTCATTGAGTTGAGTCGTTGTTTTGTATCTCGTTTTTCTAGAAATAAACATTAATATTTAATTTTCAAAGAGAATAATCACAAAAATAATTCGGACAAGGTGGGTTTTGTGGCAGTATGATACCGTATGATCGAGAAAGAACGGCGTCAGCGTTGGCTTTGAAATGAAGATCGCTGTCATTTTATATGTAAATTTATATGGGAAAGTCATCGATCGTCGTTTCCCAGCCAACTGGACGCCGTTTTTTTTTCGATCATACGGTATTATACCGTATGATCGAATAAAAACGGCCTCAGCGATGGCTATGAAATGAAGATCGCTGTCATTTTATATGGGAAATGTCATCGATTGTCATTTCATAGCCATCGCTGACGCCGTTTTTATTCGATCATACTGTACTTGTGTAAAGGGGCCTAGGAAAAAATGCAGGATTTGCAATAAGTAATAAGGATTTTGCTGCAGTAACCTAATTTGTAGTGAATTTTTTATAGGAATAAGCGACTTTTAACTGCAGTTTGGGACCCTGTTTATGTAAATTTCAGGGTCCCACTATAAGCTTGACGCTGTCATGATTTTATGATTCAGCAATTTTATTTTTTTTCAATACAAACCTTCATTTGAAAATGTAGACAGAATATAATAAAAACAATTTGACTGAAATAAAATAACATTTTATTTGTTATTATAAATATGTAAAAATTATACATATAATCCTAGCAATGTGATATTAGGTACAAAATCTAATACAATTACTTAAATGTAAATGATCCTAAAATTTATTAATACAAATGAAAAATTAAAAAAAAAGAATAGATAAATATATATCATCTAACTAAACTTACTTGCTAATTAAAAATATCTAAAAAAAAATCTGTATTTAAGAACCTATCGTATTTAGAAACATATCTATATAAAATAAAATCTGCTTCAACTTCTTTTAAAAAATACATAGTGTTGTATTTGAAATAACAAAGTTTTTATGTAAAGTAAATACTTAAAATAGACCAGCAATTTTTGATACCCCTCTATACATTTAAGGATGCAATACATTTTTTTAGTAAAGTTTATTTCTCTGGCTTCAAAGTCAGCACAAGAATTAACTCTTAAAAATTAATGTACAGGATGTTGACAAACTTTGTTATTATAACATGCATATTTAAATGTATTTAAATATCTCAAAAACCAAACCTTTTAAACATATTAAACCCTTATAATAAATACCTTATTTTATGTCCAAGAATCCCAAAGTGAAATAAAATACCGTGTGTTCCATAAGAAAAAATATAACTTTGGTATGGATCTTAGTCCTGACACACCCTGTACATTTTAAAATAATTTTAAATTAAGTACATTGTCTTTCCACATATACCCATAAAATATTTTGTTTCTATATCTTTACGTTTTCGTATAATCAACCAAGATGAATGAGGTGCGCCACCCTGTATTCAGCCTTGTGTTTATAAAATATTTTACTGACCTTCAGATGTAACTTCCTTGGATGTTGATGGAATAGCGATTACATCTGGTGAAGTAGATTCCGAAACAGCTGAAAACATAAAAAAATATTTATTGAAAATTGGAATTCTATACCCTATATCGGTATGGCAGTTCAGATTTATATTCAGCATTGTGTTTAAAAGGTAATAGTATTTTACTCACCTTCAGATGTAACTTCCTTGGATGTTGATGGAATAGCAATTACATCTGGTGAAGTAGATTCTGAAACCGCTGAAAACATAAAATAAAATATTTATTGAAAACTGGAATTCTATACCCTATTGCATTGTGTTTAAAAGGTTAAAAAAAATAGTATTTTACTCACCTTCAGATGTAATAGGAACAGCAGGAATAGTAGCTTCAACTTCCATCATGGAATTGTCTACAAAAATATATTTATTTAATTTTTTTGAGCATAACACAAACACAATTTTAAGAGGCAAAATTGAAAGCTAAATGTTATTGTCAAAAGTTTTTGTTTTTCAGTAATATAGTATTTGTCATAAAAATATTGAAAATATTACACAGAACCACCACGAACAGACTGAAACTGGATTTTCTAAATGCCTATCTATAAACTATTTTTGTTTATTTAAATGTTCGTTTGTGCAAGTGTATAAATCGATTGTGCAGATAAACAAGCAACTGATGATTTGAAAAAAATTACAAGTAAAATGAAAAACAATGCTTATGAACCCACCTGACATCAAAAAGTTGGAACAGCAAATTTCTTTAGACGGCTTTGAGACATTCCCGCAAACATGGTAGGTTGAAAGTGTTTTCCACAAACTCTATACCCTCTATGCAAATCTATAGGTGATTTTGCTCTAAAATCATGCCTGTTGCAGTTCTTAACCCACTCAGAACATCTAGAATTTATTAAAATATTTTTCGTTATTTAATAGATGATTGTACATACATGAGTCTGTCAAAAACTTTAGAATTTCTAAAAAATCTTACTAGATTGTTTAAAATTCTAGAGGAAACATTCCTTATTGTGTAGATAAAAAATATTTATGTACCTTTTTGGATCCAATGGGAATGAAAAGAAGCTAAGACCCATATCAGTCTCCGTATTGCTTAAACAGCCGGGAACACAGCAGTAACGAAGGCCCATTATAAACAAAATTGTCAAACAAATATAGTCACAAAATATCACAAACACACCACAAAGTAAATTAAAATTATTTTAATTTACTTTTCCGTTAATTTACTTTTCCGCCCGTTCATATGACATTCATATTTTTAGGTTAGAAATGTTGAGCAACGTTGTCAGTTGTCAGATTTTAACAAAGAAATTCCTGAATCTTTAATTACCATTGCAATAATAATTTTTTTATATTTAGCAGTAAAGCAAAATAGAGTGCAAAACTGACGATGCCCGTTGGTTTTATTTATTCTAAAATCAATTTCAATTGTTTTGGTTTAAATATTTCAATGATAATATTTTTTAACTTTTTTTGTGCAGAAAATGAGGTAAATTTTTGTTACATTTCGTACTACGTCGCAAAATGCTGCACTCAAGGGACGTTGCCATGCGCGTTTTTCGTAATAATAATGTTAATTTTTAGGCATATTTTAATTTTCCAAATATATCAAATTCCTCATAATTATGTATATTCGGTAATTCTTGTATACTTGCGTCACTTATTTCGTGAAAGAAATGCTAAATGAGTGAAGAAATGTGGCCGTGGGATTATAATATAAAAATACATTTTTCAAGTACTGAGAATTATGGGTTACCTTGGCAACCTCACAAAAACCTTGCGCATGGTTTTGTGCCGCCTGCGCGCATATAACATAAAAAATAAAATCTTGACAACGGAAATCCCATAAGTGAAATTTCTGATTTGTATCTGTTCTGTGGTTATATTTCTGTATGACGCTGAAATGAATATGAAATGTAAAAAGAATAATATATGTAATATAAGTTTTCTTATCGATTTTCAGCGAATTTGATGAAAATTACGCAAAATGTAGTTTGTCGGTCTAAATAATGATCGTACAAGACTAATATCATATCAAATTTTCAATTACAGCGTTCCTAGCGGCACTGCAAAGCCATTTTCTTTTTCACTGGATATACAATCTCTATCTACCCTATTTTTGCATTATAAGTGGCTTCTTTATTATATGACTTGTTCCCGAAATAGACGGATCTCAAACAGCACAAAAAAATAAGAAATCAATACATAAGAAAAATATACATTAGCATAAATACAGGCATCCATAAGGATTTTTGGAAAACAAAATTTTCTCA